ATTTATAAAAAATGAACAAGAAATCATCATCAACAACAACATGCAGGAACTATAGGATAACACAAAAGGCCAAAGTTTTTAATTATAAACACAGATGAAGGTGAAAAATCCCAGGTTAGTTGCATAGACCAGATTTTCAACAAAAACATAGAAGAGAACACCCCCAAAACCTAGGAGACAAACCCAGTTAGATATAAGAAGCACAAAACAGCAACTTGTCAGGCCTCACAGCATATCACACCCAGACACTAGATACATAGAACAAAGGACAACTAACAAAGGCTGTAAGAGAAAAGACAAGTCACATATGAAGGAAAGTCCCTCCGAATAAGAGCTAGTTTCTCAATGGAGTTTTTGTGCACAGAGAAATTACTTCAAGTTCTAAAAAAGACCATGGATGCCAACCTAGACTACGGTACCAAGCAAAACTATCAGGTATAGCTGAGAGAAGAAAAGGAATTTCCATGATATAAACAGACTAAAAGAAAATACATCACCAAACCATCATGGGGAGAATCCTAGAGGCAGTATTTCAGATTGACGAAAGAAATAAGCACAGATGAGACTAAAGAAAGAAAGTAAATGAACTAACAACTACTGAGACATAAAATAAAAACAAGATAGGACTAAGAACACAAACAGCCAACAAGTTAAATGCCTTTGATCAACACACAGTTTAAATAGTAATAGCCTCCACTACTCCATCCAAAGACACTGGTCAGCTAAATGGATTAAGAAACAAAGTCCACCTTTTTGCCGTCTACAAGAGATTTATCTTAGCTCTGAAAATAGGCATGTCCTTAAAGAGAAAGGATGGACAAAAGTATCATGAGTAAATGGGACCAGGAAGCATGAAGCTGTCATTGTCCTTATATCTGACAAATAGACTTCAACCAAAAACTAGTTAGAAGAGATAAAGATTACATTGTAATCCAGGAAAAAATTAACTACAAAGACATTGCAATCCTAAACACATATGCACCTCACTTCATAAAAAACACACTACTGAAAGAAAAGGCACAAGCTAACTCTTAAGTCAGTTAATAGCAGGTGATTTCAAAACCCCACTTTTACCAACAGTCAGGGTTTTTAAACAGAGAAAGATCAGAACTGAATGACATTATACATCAAATAGGTATCTACTGAATATTCTATCCAAACACCAAATACTATACATTCTACTCAGGAGCCTACAGAAACTTTTCTAAAATATACCACACAGCCTGGGAATCACATTTTAAAACTTAAAAAAAAATAATTCCATGTATCATTTTGAACAGTAATGAAATTTAAAAGAAAACCTCCAGGACATATTAAATGCAGTTCTATAATGGAAATTTATAATTCTAAATGCCCACATTAAAATACCAGAACACTCCCAAGCCAGGAGTGCTGGTATATGCCTTTAGTCCAAGCACTTATGAGACAGAAAGATTGGAGTTTGAGGTCAGCCTGGTCTACATAGCAAGTATTAGGTCAGCCAGGGATGTGTTAAGAGACCCTGTTTCACCCCCACCCTCTACCCAAGATGGAATTTAGGAAAACAAGAAAAAATAAACCCAAATCGATCAGACAGGAAAAACAAAAACCAACAACAACAAAAATCAGAGTAGAAATGAAACAGAATGAAAGCAGACAGGACAAGACAAAACAAAACAAAGACAAAAATAAAAAAAAATCCAAGTGCTGGTTCATTGAAAAGATAAACAAGATAGATAGATCTTTAGCCCAATTAGTCAAATAAGCAAATCCCACGAGCCACCCCCTTCATCAAATTAACAGAATCAGAGATAAACAGGGAAACGCTATAGAAGACATGAAGGAAACTGAGAATATTGTAAGGCGATACTTTAAAGAAAGACTGACATTCTATTAATTTACCAAACCTAGAAGAAACAGAATTCTAGGCTCATCTGAAATACCAAAGTTAAACCAAGAAGAGATCATTTAAAGAGACCCACAACAAATACAGAGGTTGAAACAGTGATAAAAAGCCTCTTGACTAAATAAAAGCCTTGGCCCATAAGAATTCATAGCAGATTCTATCAGACTTTCAAAGAAGAGCAACCAACACTTCAAAACAGGAGTGTTCTCAACAACTTCTTCAAAGACAGTATCCCTCTAATACTCAAACTAAGCGAAGAGTCAACAACAAGAAAGACTCACATGATCATCTCAATAGCTGCAAAAAAAAAAAGCCTTTGACAAAATCTAACATGCCTTCATGATAAAAGTCCTAGAGAGAGTAGAACTTGAGAGAACACACCTTAACTTAATAAAAGCTATCTATGACAAACCCACAGCCAATGTTATCTTAAATGGAAAACAATCTCAAGTAATCCCTTTAGAATCAGGAATAAGACATGATTGTCCATCCTTCCTACTCCTTTTCAATAAGTGCCTAAAACACTAACAGAAACAATAGTGTAAGAGAAGAAAATTAAAGGGATACAAATAGAAAAAAAAGCCAAATCAACCATATTTACAGATTGTGTATTATACATAGACATTCCAGAAATCCTACCAGAAAACTTCTAGGAATAATCAGCAATCATTTCATTAAAGAGGCAGGAAATAGAATCAACTTAAAAAATTATACACTGCAGCAAACACACTGGGAAGATGGTCATGGAGACACTCTCATTCACAATAAATAATAAACCTAATCAAGGTGGTAAAGCTCTAAAGGAATCCTAAAAGTGGAAAGGCTTGTCATGTTCTTTTGTTTGTTTGTTTAAAGTTTTTGTTTTTAATTTTCTTTTGGAGGAAGGCTACAAGGGCAGAGGGCAGATACAAAGGGACAGGGAGATGTATGGGGTTGGGATGCATGATGTGAAGCTTAGAAAGCATCAACAAAAAGGTTTTTAAAAGTATGCATATAGTTCTACAGAGACCTTCAGTCATGAGCACATACCATGCCCCCTATAATTTAAAATAATAACAATAAAATATTTATAAAAAGAACAACTGACAACAAATGCTGGAAAGGATTTGAGGAAAGGAGAACCCTAATCACTGTTGATGGGATTGCAAATTGATTCAGCCACTCTAAATTAGTGTAGAGAATTCCTACCTAAGTGTAAAGTCTGTGGACCTGAACAATAATTGAACTGGGATAAAGTCCACAAAGGCTCAAGAGTGGAATTTTCATATCAGGGAAAACCAATAGCTATCTGTGTGGACATAAGGTCCACCCCATGGGAGAGAACTCATGCCTGGTGCTATAAAACCAGGTACATAGCCAGTGAGGATATGCATTCTAGAAGAGAGCAGTATGCTTTCTATGCATTCTAAATACTTATCTGTATACTCAAAGGTAAGTGTAGCTCTCACTCATCATCAAAGCATCTTTTTATAATAGGTGGAGACCATTACAGAGATCTACAACTGGTCAAATGTAGAGAACTGTAGGGCTACAAAGGGATGGTTTGGTCTCCCCTGTAGAGCACTGAGTTTGAGATAGCCAGAGACCCAACAGGTGGACTACTGCCTGATGAGGGACGGCACATATCTCTCCACGCTTCCAGATTCCAGACCCCCACATGCTGCCTACACCTCCATTAGCCTGCATCTTGCAGACATGTTTGGCTCAAAGTAATTCCTCCTAGAGAGGTTTTGCATCACCATCCAGCTGGACGTGACTACAGGCCTCAGGGAGATTTACATATTAATGAAGGCTAGAGGGCGGAGCCATTTAAACATTCTTCCCAAGACCCTTCCCCCTTCTCCCTCCCTATTTAACTCAGGTCTGCTCTGAGTTTTAGGGGGTACATCCAGATCCATCTACCACCCGCCATGAAAATAAATCTCTTAAACCCATGGACTTCTAGTGTCTTTGGGGTCCGCCTGGGGAAAATGTGGAGAAGGCCTTTAATGCTGAGCCTAATTCCTGCCTAGAGGACCTCTCTGCTTTCCAGCCACAGGGGACCCACATCTTCAAGAAAGGTAGCTGGGCCGCTGAGTCTGCTAAGCGAGTACAGTAACCAAGTCCCTCCCACGGGGTGCTTCCGAGGCCTCTTTCTTTTCTCCCCCCTCATTTCTCTTGGCTGTGGGTTGGCCAGTTGCTGGCCCACACGCCCCCAGTCTCTGTCCTTCCATGGCCTCTCAGCGGTCTGAGAGCGCAAGGGCTTGAGACACGTTGGTCCCTGTCCACCTCCTGGCCCAGGGATCCCCAATCCAAGAGCTCTGCACCCCCCCCCCCCCCACAACCTGACTGAGTGAGAACTCCCCCGGAGTAAGGTCAGTCAAGACTCCCGTGCTCCAGTCTCTTCGGAGCTGTGGGAATCACAACAGCCCAACAAGATTCAAGAACCCACACCAGCACCCACATGTGAGCTAATCATTCCTCGCAGAGAATAAGTCACTGGATGATGCCCAGCTACAATTGATTTAACTGCAGTGGATACAACCTAATGTTCACAGAAAAAAAAAATCTCAAAAGAGAATGTGGAAAGGTTGTGAGAGCCAGAGGCCCAGGATGTCTCCTGTTTGATAGTAACTCCTATACTTAACAAGGGAAATGCACCCATGAACTCTCAACAATATGGTTGCCTGAACAAGACCACCAGGAAGACAACACTAGTTGACATGCTAACAGGGATAAAGGAAACTCCCCGTGGTCCTATACCCAGATGAAGAGCCATAGGAGGCCAATGACTGCTGAGAACAGGGAGAACGAGCTGCCTCCATGGAGGAGTTCTGATATAGATTGTCCAATTCCAAATGGTCAGCCCTGGACACACAAGCAAAGCAAATAGACTCAATGGGTTATATACACATGTGTGCATCTATGCAACACATATTTATACAGGTACAACTGTAATAATTGCAGAGGTCATGTGCTTGGGAGGGAGACACAAGACAACTTGGGGGAGGCAGGAGTGAAGTAGATTTCCTGCTCATGTATGAAGTTCTCAAAAAATAAATAAATAAATAAAAGCACAGGAAATGAAAAGCCCATGGTCCAACTTCCCCCAGCAAAGGAAGTAATCAAGATTTACCTGGTTGGTAGAAATCAGGTGACAGCTCTCTGGCCATAGCTCTTGCTATATCGCACTCCTGGCGAGCAGCCAGTGCAGCTTGGTCAGCAGCATCGGCTTTTGCTCTGGCATGTGCAGTCCTACATGGGTATAAAAAGGCTGGTCAGCAGAGAAGGCATTGCATTAATTACCTGTGGACAAGAAAACCTCGATCTAGGGAGAGACATTTTAATTATGATCAATTGCCTGACACTTGCAAGAACAACTTTTAGTCATATTACTGAGACCTCAGCAACAGCTGTGACACAGATGAGTGGTCCCAGTCTTGCTTTCCAAGGGAAAAGAAAACTATGAACAAGGTCTCTACTGATGAGCCACCAGCTTGGGAACATGCTTGGAGGGACCCATGGCTCCAGCTGTATACGTAGTGGAGGATGGCCTTGTCAGGCATTGGTGGGAGAGGATGGCCTTGGTTTCATGAAGGCTGGGGAATTCAAGGGTGGGGAAGAGGGAGTGGGTGAATGGGTGGGGGTACACCCTCATAGAAGTAGGAGGAGGGGGGACAGGATAAGGGGCTTCTGGAGGGGGTATAGGATAACATCTGAAATGTAAATAAATAAAACATCCAATAAAAAATTTGTCACTTGAAACAAAACAAAACAAAACAAAACAAAACAAAACAAAACAAGGTCTCTATAATTGGATACTGTGTCAGAACTCAGTGGACCAACCCTTCTGCTGATTTTGCATCCTATTCCCCCAACTCCAAAAGACAAGCAACTAGGATTGGTTGAGTCGGATTTGACCCTATGAATTAGCTGTGTGTTCACTACTAAATTCCATTGGTAGACCTGAGTAAGAATCTGATTGAGGAAAGGTTGCTCAATGGCAGAAATGAATGGAACGGATACCATTAGTGCTGGCTGATTCCTATGCATCAAACCCCTTGCTATGTTTATTTCAGGTCATCAGCATCAGCCACTGGACATAGTGCTGGGAAGAGGCCTAGCGTATCACAAGTTCTCACCAGTGTGCCCTGGAAGGCTATCCACTTACCTGATTAATATAAATTAGAACTTATTTGTGTGTGTATGTGTGGGTGCCAATAGGAGTGTGAAGAGGTAAGAGAACAACTTGTGGGAACTGGTTTGCATTCTACAATGTGGCTTCTGAAGACTGAACTCAGATCATGGAGTTGCTCTTACATGCTGAGCCATCTCCCTGGCCATGCCCTTGCCTAATTTTTTTAGATCTTGAATGAATTTATTTATTTATTTTTTATTTTGAATGAAACAGAAAGGAGCCAGTGAAACAAAGCTGGTAAGGATTGAATGGACCTTTTGGTCTTCTATCCCCACCCTTGTCCATCCTCATACATTAAAAAATCTCACCTGTTAGAGAGGAGAACAAGTATTGGGCTTCCTGGGCTGGGATGATAGCCCAGTTAGTAATGTACTTGTCTTGCAAGCACAAAGATCTGAGTTTAATCCCCCAAAGAACACATTAAAAAAGGACAGAAAAGCCAGGTATAGTGGCACACACTTGTCTTCCAAGTGCTGGGGTGTTGGAAAGCAGATACCTGGGACTCACAAAGTTCCAGCCTGGTGAGAGACCCTGTCTCAAGAATGAGGGGTGCATGTTTCCTTTGCCTGTTTTCTAAAGAGACAGAAAAAAACAAAGCATGGAGTTGGATAGGCAGAGAGTTGGGGAGGATCTGAGAGGACATGAAAGAGGAAAAACCATGATCAGAATATACTGTATGAAAAGAATTATTTTCAATTTAAAAAATGAAGTGGACAGTGCCTACCTCAGAATGCCCAAGAGAGAAAATGGTCCTTTTTGTCTCCACGTGTACAAGAACATTTGAACACACATGGCCACCTGTATGCACAGACATGTGCACACACACAAAAGAATTGAGCTTGTGACAGTGAGATAGGTCAATGCTTGCTTCCAAGGCTGACTAACAAAGGGAGTTTGGGTCCCCAGACTCATATAGAACAAGAGAACTACCTCTCACAATACATGATATGACTTCCACAGATGATAGGCTACATACACACACATAGAATTGAAAAAAAAAGGCTTCTTAATGATAGACCAAACAGCATGTAGAGGTGTGTGTGTGTGTGTATGAGAGAAAGAGAGGAAGAGAGAGGGGGAGAGGGAGAGGGAGAGGGAGAGGGAGAGGGAGAGGGAGAGGGAGAGGGAGAGGGAGAGGGAGAGAGAGAGAATATATATATTGGGTTGTGTATGTATATATATGTGTGTGTGTCTATTTTCCAAATTCAAGACTTGCTCAGTTGGTGTTTCAATGGCTAGCATGTGTACCTACTCTAATGCCTTTGTAGAAATTCTATTATATTTTACCAGCACCAGGCAGGACTGCAGATAACTAGTAATAAAAGTTTAAGGAAAGTCTGAAAGCAATGCACACGCTCATCTCAGACAGTGGGGGAGGGTGATCCAGGAAATCGCATTGTGCCCCAGCTAGTCTTTGAGGGGACACACATGGCAGCTGGAGATGATCAAGAGTCTGATTCCCCAGGCTAAACCACTAGAATTAAAATGGGAAGGCAGGGTCTGATGTGAGACCAGGTACTAGCTAGCAAGAGGCCCCACTCTCAACTTTCTCTACTTCTCTCCTTTTATCCTGGTCTCTCATGGACTCATCTCACTTCTATCTAGAACCTAGCTGGGCCTAGAGATCTGTAACTTTGCAAATACTGTGGTCTTTTACCTTCTGTCCTTTGCTGCAAACCCAGGGCACAAACATAATATTTACTGAGAGCCTAACTTACATATAAATGAATGATGATTCCTTAGGAATATCTGGGCTGCCACTTAAAAATAAGTGAACTAAAGAATATATTGTATGAAAAGAGTCTATTTTCAATAAAAAAATTAGTACACCATAAAACTAAAGGAATGGTAAAGAGAGCATGGTTGTCAGGGTTCAGTAGGGAGGGGAACAGGTAGAGTAGAAAGTGTATCTAGGGGAGAGAAACAACTCCATGTGACACTGTAGTAGATGTTATACATGTGCCAAGTTTGTAGGATATATATGATCAGGGATGTATGCTAATATGAGCAATGAACTTTTCTTGATGAAGTATGGGCACTTACATGAACGAAGGATGTTACTGTTGATGCATCAACATTACTTCATCACTTACATCAAATTTACCCAAGATGCAAGACATGGAAGCTGCATATGGGCCCAACATGGGGACTAAATGTGTGTAAGAACACTACAGTCTCTGGTCAACTAAAACCTGCTTTAAAAAGAATCTATTAAAAGCACAGCAATTGCAAGGCTGAACAGGTTGTATTTATATATTTAGGAAAACTATGTATGGTTGCATACATACATACATACATACATACATACAACAAAGAAAAAGAACCATGTACTTGAGAACAAGGTAGATACATGGTATGGACTAGAAGGAAAAAAGGGAGAGAGGGAAATTTCATAATTATAACTTCTAAAGCAAAAAGTATTAAAATGGATGGATCATCTTCCACGTATCCAGATAGTTATTTTTGTATCATGTGGGATATTTCTGATTGTTTCTGTCTATGTGCATTATTAATTTGAGGTGAACATAAAAGCAAGATTTTAAGAGAACACATCCTAAAATGCCTGGTTGCAATGACCTTGTAAGACATTATTTTTGTTGATTTGAGGGAGCAGGGATTGAGTCTGATTCTAGGCTCGAGAACCAGTTTACAGCCCCTGTTCACATTCTTTCAGCTTCTCACTTCTTTTTTTTCCTTCCCAGAATGATTTTCCATTTTATCTGCTATTCTTAGCTAGAGCCTAATTATGTCTAGGTACCATAATTAATGAAGCTTTAAGAGTACAGCCCTGATCCTTTTAATGTGATTCCCTAGCATTTCAATAAATCTATGAAACTAAACAACATATTTTGATACATCTGCAACACTTCTGTCAAGCCAAATATGATGGAAATATTATCTCTATATTGTCTTATAATCCATCAAACTGGAGAGTAGTTTACAGCTTACCTTTCCTGTCAACACATCTTGGAAGTTCAGAGTTCAACATCAGAAGTTCAATGAAGCTGCACTCACTACACTTTTACCTAACTTACTTTTTCACTTACTCTTCCCTGAAGGTCCAAACAGACAGACCCTTTCAGTCAAACTGAGCTACAGTGTCTGTCAGTCAGGACTACTTACAGCTGGCCAGATGAGCAAGACCACATCCACACCTGTACCCAGAGATACTGATTGAGAACTGGTGGTTCTAACCATGAGAAATGGAGTACATTCAACCTTCCGGGGGTCAAGGTCATTGGCATGGTTAGACTTTGAAGGTTACCCTGGTTTGTGTGTGAACTCATTTATTTAAGTTCTAGGGCTAGTTCCAAACCTACAAATGGCTGGTCAGACTTGCTGCTGTTCCTGGGATCAGAACACTCAGTCTGAGGAAATCAGCTGAAGGTAAATAGCACTGGTTCCTACCAGAGCTGGTTGTATGGAAACACACAGACATTTACAGAGACAGACAGACAGACAGACACACATATACACATACACACACTAGATCCTTTTCATTTCCAAAGACCCCTGATATACACAAGGCTTTGGCTCTTTACAGTTTCAATCTGCACACACTATTATCACACATTTTCCCCAATGATGTAATTACAAAGTAACTGAGAAGTCACACCCATAACTGAGGTGACAGCCACTGACCTCCAAGGATGTCACTTCTGCAAGTCTATCATGCTTTAACTTTAGGATGAACCCTTAAAAACAAGAGTGATTCCCTTTTGTAAGTCTACAATGCTTTATCTCTAGGTTAGGAAAAAGAGCAAGTTCTGGATGCAGAGACCTGGTGGCTGGCTTGCTTCCCCTCTTGAGCACAGCCACACGAGTAGCTAGAACTTTCAGATGCTATATATTATTTGTAGTCAGAGTAATTATAAACTAGTTTTCCAATCAACAACTTGAATTCTAAAGTCACTTTACTCTGAAGAAAATTATTGTTTTCTCAATATTCTTGAACTTTTAAAAGAATTTAATTATGAGATGTTCCTTAAATATAACAATGCTTTTATAAAAAGTACATTCAACTGTTGTCCTCTTCGACTCAGTATTCACTCTTCTA